GATTTGTCAGTTACCGCTACGATGTTGTCTGGTCCACGTTTTCTCTCTTGGTGTCTATTGTTTCGATGATTTTGCTTATCCGGGTTGTCTCGGTTGCTTCTTTCTGGGAACCTTTCTCGTGTCTTCTCGTCTGTAGTAATCATTTTTCTACTGTGCATCTGAATTCTTCATTGTTTCTTGGGTCCTCTTTGCAGAAATCCTGAAACTGCCACCTAGCCATGATTCCGTGAGAGAAAGCTTCGATTACTTCTCGTTCGGTGATGTCATGTACTTGGGCACGTAGTTCGCCAAATCGTTGATAGTAATCTCTGAGACTTTCGCTTCCTTTCTGCTTGAGTCCCTTTAGTTCTGCGTGGGTGATTGGGTGCGAAATGATACCCACGAAATTTTTACAGAAAGCTCTTTGCAAGTCCTCCCGATTTCTGATTGATCCTGGATTCAATTTATCGAACCATTGGAGGGGCATGGTTTCTAGGCTCATAGGAAAGAACAAGGTCTTGATGTCGTCGTCTCCTCCAGCCAGTTCAATCGAATGTGAGTAGATTCTGAGCCACTGCCTTGGTTCAGTCTTGCCATCATATTTAGAGTGGTTGGACGGTTTGAACTTGTGCGGTAGTCGTATTGAAGCAAGTATGCTTGCGAAACAGGGGAATCTATCATGCGTCCCGGCTTCTCTGTATTCTGATTCAGCACCTCCTTCTAGCCAGCTGTCGTTTTGGCGAGAGTAGTTCTGCGGGGCTGTCCAAATGGGTGCTTCGCTTCTGATCTATCTTGGTTGTTCGACTCGGTAGTTTTGACTGTGGTCCCTCCTGCTTTCTCTGTTGTGACTTCCACTTGGTCCAAGTCTCTCGAATGCAGACTTCCTTTGATTTTGATCTTCCTTCCTATGAGATGTTGACCTGGCGGGTAGTCTTGAACGGGTTCTTCCATCGTGTGTCTTTAGGGCTGCTGTCCGGAGAAGTTCCCGGAGCTGTTCCTGCTGTTCACTGGGATGTGAGGTCGTTCCGAGTTCTTCAAGTGCTTCTCAGATCCTGTTGTAGGGTGTGTTCGTCGCACGTCTTTCTTCGACTTCTTGTTCTGATTTTCTCCTGTTGTATTCGGCCAGATCTGACTCATATTTGATCCAAGCTTCCTTGCACTGCCTAGCACGTCGCTGGCGTCCTTGTTTCAACTTGTTTCAATTAGTACCTTTCGCTGACGTCGGGTGCTTCTGGGGGGGGTCAATGGTGATCGAGGACGGCGAACCATGAGTACTTTCCGTGCGTGAACTGTTCTATTATTAGCGTTGGTTTCTATACTGTCGGGGTTGTTGATAACTTTAGTAGAGGCTTCAAGGTCGCAGATCGAGTCTCCTTCTTGGTAGGGTAGAATTGTTGTCGTCGTCGTGCCGAACAGTCGGGTACTGCTATCCTCGGGAATAGAGCCTGGCCAGTGGACGATGCAGTCTTGAGATGTTATAGTTAGCACGAGACCTTCCTGAGCTCCTTTTAATGGCATTCTAAGCACTGGGTCGAGGGATCCTTCGAGCTGTGCTTGGTAAGACCTTGCCATGTTGTGGAGTCCAAACGGGAAAAGATCTGACTTCTTGAAAAGATTCTGAGTGTTCTCCGAGTTGTATTCTTGATATGCCGAGGTCGCGTTCTGCAGCCCCATTGGAAAAGAACTCGGATCTTTGAAAGAACTCGGGTCAGACTCCATCTCGGATGCGGAGCCTAAATTTGAGTCGGATGCGCAAAGTTACGAAACCTGAGTTAAATCGGACATCACGAGCTACACGAATCTTCCAGTGACTTGATCTGTCGTAGTCACCGAAAAAACATCTTCATGGTGATCCGAATCTTCAAGGAGACAGCTTTGAAGCTTGCCATCGTCGCAAGCCTCGCAGATCCACAAGCCAAAGATGAAGGTTGATCCCGTCGAGAAGATCATGTTGTCGAGGTCCATCGAGCTCTTGGATGCAAATTCGTCGAAAGCCCCTACTTGACGCGCCAGCTGTCGATGTTTGACCACCGATAGCCTGCCATGGGGTTACCCGGGACAGTATGTTCGGGCTTCAACGTATGCGGAACTCGACGGTGAACGCAAGAGACAGCCGATTTATCCTGGTTCGGGCCCTCGACCGTGGTCGAGTAATAGCCCTACGTCCAGTCGGCGTTAGCCTTTGCGTTGTATTGATTGTGTGTTGTAGTGTTGTTGTATCGTCCTCCCTAGGAACTCCGCCCTCCTTTATATAGTCAGGAGATCAGAGTCCTAGTCGGTTTACAATGAGAGTTCCTAGTAGGATTATAGAATAATACTACTACTAGGATTACATGGGAAGAATCCTAGTTGGACTAGATCTTCTCCCTTTCTGGCGGGGTATCCTGTGAGTCCTGCATCGACACCATGGCTGATGGTGGAGGACCAATGTTGATGAAGACATGTCAAAGCAGCTGACAATGGAGACGACGTTATGTAGTGCCACTTTGCTTGGACAGGCGACAAGACATGGTGAAGAACACGAGCAGTTGCAGGAGGTGCTCCCCAAAAACCATATTCACCCTCTCCCGGTAGAGGATCACAAGGGCGTGAGATTTTAAAGACCTACTCTTCCGATCGTTGGAGCACGTAGGCACTCGAGATGGAGAGACCACAACTAGTTGAAGTAGCTGCAAGAGGCAAAACCCTAACTCAACAAGGTATGCTTTGGCGGTGGCGATAGGTCATATATATATAGGAAAACCCGCATGAGGTTGTGTTACGATTACGATCCAAACTGGTTAGGATTCTAATCTCAGACTTATGGTGCGAATAACCAGAAAATAGAGCTGCAAAAGGAGGCCATGCTCCCACAAACCATAGGCCAAATTTGTAGAACCATTTATGTAGGCGTCGTGCGCCCTTCACTCCACCCCAACAAGGCAAGGTGAGCGAGCAAGCGTGTGGGCTTGCCTTCTCTTCGCACACAGTGACACATGACTCTGTAGTGTGGATAGGACTCCCATGCCTAAATATGTCATCATCCATTTTCATTAGTAAGGTGGGACTAAGGTTCACACCATCATCTACTTGCAGCCATGAATGGGGCCTTTGAGATTGGTTTGGAATAATTGAAAAAACTCATATGGGCTAAGACCGTTATTCCAACAATCCTTCACTAGATCTCAAATTCTAATTTATATATATTTTCGTTCGTGCTACTGTTCGATATACTAGTGGCAGGGACCGTTAAGTTAAACATCCCCTAGAGCTTCGAGCAATGAACTATATCTAGAATTGCAAGGTTTGTTCAGACAGATCTCTTGTAAACTCATGAAGAGACTAGAGAGTATGACATATATGCTCCATCTACAAGAAAGGCTACTGGCAGCCCGGTTTTACCTGAGTCTCATAGAATGCAATGTTTAATGGCCAGTCTCAGGTGCGTTCTTTGAAGAATGCTCAGTAAGACAACATCTTCGCTTATTAAAGCCAATAGAAATACATTAAGACATGTCGCCATTCCATCATACAGTATTGAGAGTATTGCATCTTCACTTAGAGAGGGCTTTAGATTATTGTCCTATGTTAACTGAGAGCTTGTTTTTCTCAGGTTCTAAGTCATCGGATCTCTAGTCAAAAAGTTTAGATTAGCACTATGGTAAACTCATATTGGTCTCATATCCACCTCCATCGTTGCATTTTCTATCACATTCCGTGATAACCCTTTCTTAAAGTGATATGTCGATTTTGTCTATTTTTAATATAAGTCACAGCTATCACTTTGTATTGATTTCCTTTTGTTGTGTCCATCGGGGGCTGGGCTTAATTGTCATCTGATATCCACCAACTTACCTAGTGTTATTGTTCCTTTCCGGTTTTGCTTCATTGGTGTTCCACTATTCCTACCACACTATCCACCGCCATAAAAACTCACTTCAATATTTGGCTAATCATCATCCAGAATTATCCTGACATTGTCTCGCAAATCCTGCAGCAAGGCCCGGGGATCAGAATTTACTTAGTTTTAGGGCCTGTTTGGAACGCAGGAATTTTACAGGAATCACACAGGAATTTCACAGGAATCAGTTTAATTTCACAGGAAAAACGTAGGAATGGAGAAAAAAATCTCCCGCATTCCAAACAGGCCCTTAGGAAACACTGATGGTTAAAGTGTACTTCTAAAAACATTCCAAAATTTCAACAAAGAAATGGATGGACTAGGACTATGTACTATGGGATTTTGGGAATGAAAACCCTCTATCACGCCAGCGCTTCTGGATGTGAAGAAAAAAAAAGGGGTAGTTCCATGGCAGTATGGCACCGGACATCTCCATGTACGAACTGTGCCTTCCAACGGCATGTTCGGAAGACCGTATCGTATCGTGAATTATTTACTGCTGGCTGGTTTGGTATGAGAGAAAAACACTGTTCCCGGCTGGAAATTTACGATCGTTTACGAGCAAGCGAACAGACCATTCTAAATGCCCGTGCATCCAAATCAAACCCCTTCTGGAGTTCTGGTCGTCGGCTCCTCAACCTTCCAGTACCGACAATGAAATCAACAAAAGTGACCAAAACAAAAGAGCTTGTCTAACACCCGGGTGTTTTAGCACTCGGTAACATATAAATTTTTTCCCCATTGATACTGTTCATCTTCCTCCTCATCTTCTCTTCCTTCTTGGCACAAATCATAAATCATAAATCGCAAATCACAAGTAACAAATCACAAGTAACAATTTTTTTTATGAAAGGACAGAGACAAATTTGGTGGCGGCGCCGAAGTTGGGGAGAAGCTCGCCGGACTTGAGGAAGATGCCGGGGGCGGCGGCGGCGCGGAGACGGGCGGGCGCAGGCACGACGGTGCAGGCGCTGCAGCGACGTGGGCGCGACGGCGCAGGCGCAGCGGACGTGCGGTTTCGCGGCTAAGTGCCACCGGATAATAAAACACCGGTTGTTGTATAGCATTTTCGGAAAAAAAAACACGGAGCGGAGCGGAGCTCGCCGCGGCGGAATCCGGACGAATCCATCAGATGAATTCCTCAGATGGTCCGGCCGATTCGCGCGAGCTCTTTTTCCAGCTCGTCCAGGCCACCAACCTTCTCCAGCTCCTACAACCACAGCCACAACCACAACCACAACCGGCTCAGACGTCAGCGGATCACAGGAGGCAAGGCGAGGACAAACGAAGGGGCACCACTCGCTGCTCACCTTTGGTCCCAGGAAGAGCCCATACGGGACGCCCTCGAACTTGTCCATGTGGTGTATCTGCTCGCGACATCGCCGAGGAGCCCAGCCACACGAGCGACAGCGTGCAAAAGCGCGGTAAAAATATCAGCTCAAGTCGGTTTCTACTGGCCAGTGGCAAGTACAGTACAGTACAGTAGATGGAAGCTACAGAAGTTTCGAGAAGGTTGAGGAGTACAAGTAGTAAGTGGTGAGCGAGAGGTCGGTAGCTGGCCTCGTCGCCGTCGTGCGGTGCGTACCTTGTGAGCGGCAGCCACTCGGCGGAAGTAGGGCACGTTGGCGATGGGTCCGACCGGGAAGCGGCGGTGGACCAGGCCGTCGTGGACGAACATGTAGGCCATGCCGAACAGCGTAATCCCGAGGCCCTGTGGGAGGAAGACACTTGGAGGGTGAGATCACAGTCGGATGAGTTCGTGGCTGACGCCACCGTGCCTACCAGCTGAGTTAGGTGGGTCCAACCAACCAACAAACTAACCAGACAGACACAACGAGAGACTCCTAGTCCGTGGCTTACCGCGCCGAAGCATAGGCCGGGCACGAGGCCACGGTGGAAGAAGCCGTAGGCGAGGAGGGAGATGGCCGGCACGGCGTTGATGATGGCGAACACGTCGTTGAGCTCGAAGGGGCCCTCGCGCGGCCGGTGGTGCGACTCGTGCATGTGCCACAGGGAGGCATGCCACAGCGCCCGGTGCGCCCACCGCGCCCAGAACTCCATCCCGACCTGCACGCACGCGCGCGCCCAGCGAAATCAGCCGAATTTGCGTCAGGAAAAGGTTGCAGTTTAGAGACAAGGAGCGCCGCGTACCGCCGCGCCGACGGAGAGCGCAAACGTGCCCAACATCTCGCTCATCGGCACCTCGCCGCCCTGCAGTGCACGGAGGCATAAAATTCCAGCATTGTGGCACACTCGCGCCCACGTCCTGGCCACATACTACTTCTACTCCTAGCACTAGCAAGCACTACTAGCAACGAGATAAGAACAGGAAGAAAAAAAAAAAAAAAAGCCAATCAGTAGAAAGTTAGTGTACCTCCATTTGCCAGCTGAAGCGATAGTACACGGCAGCGACGGCCATGGACGTGACCCCGAGGCTGGACATCACGGCGGCCACCAGGTACGTCCGCCGCTCGGACCGCTTCCGCGCCTTCTTCTCCGCGATGCGCCGCGCCGCCGCGGCCCTGGCCTCCTCGTCCAGCGCCGTCTCCGACACCGGCACCGGCACGGGAGCAGCCGGGGCCGTCGGGTGCTCCGTCTCCTGCGGCACGAAGCACGTGACGGTCCCGAGCCCGCGGCGGCGCGCGGCCCTGGTGGTGGTGGTGGTGAGCGGCGAGAACGGCAGGGCGCGCCCGGCGAGGGGAGGCGCCCTGCGGCGCGCCGCGGCCGCGAGCAGCGGGTTCTTGGCGACGAAGCCGGTCATCGCGGCGCCGGACAGACCGGCGGCCATGGGCCCGTGCTTGCACTTTCCGGTGATGGAATGGAACGCTAAAGATGGAAAGGACGGGGACTGGGTGACCGGGAGTGTCAAGTGTGTGTGACAGGACTGGAGGGGAAGGCAGAGGAGAGCAGGTGCACGCTACTTAAGCCCTCGAGTCTCCCAGAGTCTCTCTTTGCGACGCGTCCGCGGGGAGGAAGAAGTGGTGAAATTGGAATGTGGCTCTCACTGTCTCACAACGGTCCATGTCACTGGTAAAGCTGAGCTCCTGCCGCCGCCAACCGATTCTGATGCAAAGGCCGGAACGGAATTGCTTAAGTGGCTGTTTAGTTACTAAAATTTTGCAAAATTTTTTAAGATTTCCCATCACATCGAATCTTTAACGTATGCATGAAGCATTAAATATAAATAAAAAATAAAACTAATTACACAGTTTAGACATTAAATATAAATAAAAAATAAAACTAATTACACAGTTTAGACGAAATTCACGAGACGAATGTTTTAAGTCTAATTAGATTATGATTGGACACTAATTGTCAAATAACAACGAAAATGCTATAGTATCATTTCCCAAAAAAAATCGCTAACTAAACCAGGCCTAAGCATCAAAACATGTTTGTCCATTTAAGTACGTAGCGACCTGTGTGATCTGTCGCACGTCGTCGAATGCCACTTGAGATAATAATCCCTTTCCATGTTACGACGCACGCTAGATTCAGTTTGTTAATTTAGCAAACTTGGGCAACCCTGAAATTTATCCAGATAATCAAACGAAAGTATTCCTCTCCCGCGTGACCACATGTTGTGTGACGGCTGACTAGTCGTCGCATGTCAGTTGCCAGGCATGATGTACCAAGTGCAGATGCAGGTTACCAGGAGGCAGCAGCCCAGCAGCACCACACTCCAAACGCACGGTCAGGGCCTGCAGGATCCGGCCAGTTTGTAGTTTTGCGCCGTGTTCAGCGGCATCGCCTTTGAGGTGTTGTGTGGCCGAAGACGGCGACACGCTCTCGCCTCCACCGCCCTTCCCTCCTCTCCCTGGACGGCCGGACGGCAACCCACGACCACGAGGGCTCTGGCCGTTGCGGTCGGCCAGATTCTGTCCCCAGTCCTCGGTCACGTTTGGTATAGCTTATTGGAAGCGCTTTATATATAAGCTGCACAAATAGAGTAAAAACGACGATTAAAATAAGCTGGTCTGATCCAGCTTCTGTTTTTAAGTACAAATGAGAGTTGTGGGAATAAGCATGGCCAAAATAAGCCATTGAAAAGTGCGACGTTTGACTGTTGATTTCAACTTATTTTGACTATAAGCAACTTATAAGCTATACGGCCCACTCCTGGTCTTCGCCGCCACGAATTGGGTTGGAAAAAGTGCTCCGGCGAACGAAGAAAAGGAGGAGAAAAAAAAACTCGGGACAGAAGAAGACTGGACGGTGCAGAAGGAATGGCGGCCGCTCTTGTGAATTGTGATGGAGATCCTTCCCCTGCTCTTCTGTCACTGACACGGAATGCTCTTTTGCTGTATGCATCAAATAATGCAACTGGCGGCAAATTCGGCATCAGCTGAGATTTGGTAATCATCATAGACCTCAACTATGAGGTGTCCACATCTGCGACACATTCGACGATACGAAACAAATGAAAGGAAGCTGCGGCGCCGGCGCAAAGAATTTAGTCCAGTGGGCCTAGTGTTTATGGCCGTGTGGTTGGAACATCCCATTCCCACCACCAAGTTTGCACTCAGTCCACTTCATCGGGCACGGGCTAGGACCGAGACAACTGCCGTTTGGCCCAAGATAGGTCCAGTGTACTAAAAAAGCATGTAAATCATTCCCATCCTAGGCTCCTAGCGGCGAAGTGGCCTTGTTAGATGAGTGAATTTAGTTCCACTAAAAAACAAAGATGAGTTCCCTTCAAAAAAAATGATGAGTGAATTTAGTGTATATATACACTTCCTCGTAAATCAATTTCTAGAATCACTTATTTTATCCAACTTTACATAAAAGGTAATATATATGACTCCAAATAAATATATTTTCATGATATTAATTTGATATAATAAATATTGGTGCTATTTTTTATAAATTTACTTAAAATTAAAATAGTTTGGCATAGGACAACTCAGAAAATTAATTTAATTTTAGATAGTTACCAAAGCTGGGTTTTTTCAGTCTTTAGTCTCATGGAAAACACTTTAGCTACACAAGAAAAATTGTGCTAACTTTTGCATTAGACAAAAAAAGGTGAGTGGTTGTGAATAGCGTCATACCGATCAACCGACAACCCAACCAGTGTGGTAGTCTTCTCAACCTATTGAAATTGTGGTGATAGCGGGTTCCTACCGGAAAATTGAGACTTTATGCCGTCGGTGGACCTACCACGAAAAGTCTTGTTTTCATATATGATGAATATCATTGTCTTATTCGTCTTGCTTTTGTTGATTTTAGCAAGCCTATCATCGGTTATGGTAGGCAGACAAGCCACAAAAGGAAAATCATCGGCATCACAGGGCCATTCCTTGATGTTCATTTTGGCATTATCACTTTGGATATATTTTGTATCCTTTTGTTTTAAAGGAGAAGTTATTGAAATTGCATATATGCTACAATTTATATGAAAATTCCAATTGGTTCAATTGGTTACACCTTGTCCTCCTTCCATTTGCTCACACCCCGCCTCTTACTTCATCTGAATGGCATTGGTGATAAAACAAAAGAGTATTTTACTCTCCTTTGCGATAAGATTAGATTACACATGCCTAAATCAGGACATATCAACAGAAAGAAGGTTTAGTGCCACGTAGTACAACTGGCATGGAACCTATGGTTTATATTTGAGATTATGTAAAGTCAAACAAAACCAATACCTCTCAAGAGACAAGTGGTCCATGTACCACCACATGATCGAAACTTATTTCAATTTTGCACATCTTTTTTGTTATAATAATTAACAAGATGTTTTCAAAATGACCTTAGACCTGAAATAGAGTACCTCTCTCTCTCTCTCTCTCCCCCCATAAATGATATCTCGTCGCACGGATTTATTTAGTTATGAAAAACTTAAATTAAATCAGTATCCAATTTGGTTTCGTTTGCATTCCTTTTAGCTATATAGCATATGATATGCCATGTCATCTAACCCAAGAGAAACAAAATCTCACCAACAAATTAGAACCTAGGAGCATCTAAAACATAAAAACCATACAAATATAATGTTATTAATTACTACTTTTTTGGGTGGGGGTGGGTGGGGGGGGACAAATGATATACTATATATTATCGTAGTTTAGATTGATTAACTGCATGTAATTGAATCCCGTGCTCATGCACGTTCGAGAAAAAAAGAAAATTAACTGCATATAATTAAAGTATCACTTATCTGTGACCCAAGAGAGTAGTAGCTTTTTTAAATATCCATTCAGTTTTCCACACACACACACACACACATATATATATATATATATACATACTCCATCTAGGTTGGTAAAAGAAGTCGTTTTGGACAGCGACATGGTCTCCAAAACATAACTTTGACTTCTTATTTTTATTAAAGTATTTATTGAAAAGTGGTATATGTATATGTTTGTGAAAGTATTTTTCAAGGCAAATCTATTCATGTGGTTTTCACATTTCAAACCCAACAACTTAAAAGTTATTCATGATTTAGATTCCCAATGTTTGACCCAAATTTTGTCCAATTCTTGTCCCAACCGACTTCTTTATACCAACTATATATAGGATATATATATATATATATATTACATCAAATATTTATATATATATATATATATATATATATATAGACAGACTTATACCTGGACAACAACATCAAATATTTGTGACCATAAATAAATGCATAAATATACACACGAGGTAAAAAGCAGAACACAGACTGTCGAAACACAAGCAGGCATATATATGCTACAACCACTCTCTGTAAATCAGATCGCCGTTCCAGTAACGGTTATGAAACCCAACAATAGCGGTGCATACGCATGCGGCCAAACTCTCTTGTAGATTAGACTGAGATCGTCTATCATTTCTCATGCTCCTCCCCGAACAGAAACCCAAGCGAGGACGCCCCTCCTGGTGCACAGCGTACCCTCGTCGAAGGTCGGTCCTAAAACACAAGGACGTAAGGAACATATATATGCAGATCATGTTGTTATGCCATATCGCCTGAACTCTGGAATCTACTAGCTACGTGCATAGGTGTTGTTCAATCATCGTATCCCAACATGCAGCTACATACGTTTATATATTTTATTTATGATGAAATAATGGAAGAAGTATTACTCACAGTGATAAGAAGCCCGGAGTTGTTGTAGCTTAACTGGCTGGTATGGTAGATGTTGCAAGGAGGTTTTTGAGACGAGAGTATCGGGTTGGAGACTTCTCTCTGGGGAGGAGGAGGATGCGGTGGTTCTTGAACTGCTTCGGCTCGGATCGCCTTGATGTCATCCTTGACACTGCTGCTGTTGCTATCTGGAGCCTTCTCGCTTTCCTGGTTGGATTTGGCCGCTGTGTGAGTGCGATACAGAATGGTTGTTTCCTCCGGCTCGAAGAGGTAGCTGAGAGAGCTCCGGCCACCCCCGCTGCTCCCTCCTCTGCTCATCTTCTTCCTCTCCTGTCCTCTTTCCTGTCAGTCTGTGGCTTGCAGGTGGCGCGCGCTGCGCTGAGCTTGTGTTCTGGTCTCTAGTGTGTCAAGTTGGGGTGGGAGTGTCAGCTACTGGCCTACTTATTATGGAGCTTGATAGTGAGGGTGGAGCACACTGGACACATCACACGATCGGTGATATCGATGGGTCAACAACCACATGAGCTGAGGCTTGAGGATGCGTGCAAAAAGGCATGAGTAGTAGTTTCTTTTCTTCTCTTGTTGATGAATTGACGCGCAATATTCCTATGTGTTCTCGAAAAAAGGTGAATTTCATCGCAAAAAAAGGGTAAATCAGCTCAAGCCTCAAGGGTCGTCGTTGCTAGTACTATGTCCGAAATCATTGTAATCAGAGTCCTCCGTGTTTGCTGTGATTGGTGCAGGATTTTCGTTTGGATCTATTATATCCAGGAATAAAAAGCATTTTGATCTACCATACTTGATGATCCCATAGACGTCAGATTAGGGGTGCGAATTGCTGCCTCTAGCGTCTCCATCGACCATCTTTGATTTAATTATTATTATAGTGCTACTTCTCCAAATATCTAGGAAAACTAGTACTCCTTTGTCCCCAAACAAATCAGCTTCTAAAGTTTTCTTAAGTTTTTTGTTTTGGAAGTTTGATCGAAGGCCATCAATTTTTATGAGACTCTATTTTATGATTATTATCATTAGATACATCATATGACATGTTTGTTGGATATATTATGGGCTTGGCCCATATAATATTTAATAAACCAAATAAAACTCTACGGTCCGTAACATTAAGCGTCGTATGATTTAATACCGTACGAGATTTTGACTGAACGTCGACTCAGTTTATTTGGTTGGAAATTATCCATCTTAATTGAGAAGTTGAGAAAAAGACACAAGAGTGCCACACACGCGCGCGCCGCCGGGCGGGCGGGCGGGGCGAGGCAGGTGGGCGTGGCTAGGTTTTGCCACTTAATCCACATAATTACGGGAGTTTCTCTCCTTTATGGTGGAGACGAGCTGATTGCGCCTGTTACTGTCTCTTCGTGTCTCTGTCTCCTGAGTTCCTCCGCTGGCTTTCTCCCTCCCCGCCGCAGGCATAAAACAGAAAGTCATCCGTCAGTCTTCTCCCCTTTGCTTCCGAGAGACCACATCTCAGCCGCCCTTTGGCTTTACCCGTCCTGTACCTCTACGCGCACGGAGTAGTGGGAGAGCAGGTGCCTCCAGAACCCTCGTCCGCCTGCAAACCTTGCACGGGGTGTGCGGCGATTAGGTTTTTAGGGAGCGATTCCGTGACTGCTCGTCCGACGTCTTCTTCTTGGTGATCGCTCGCGGAACCCGTCTTCTTCCTGGTGAATGTTCGTGGAACTACACTGCAAACATCTTCCTGCATCAATTGTGGTCCATGACTTCGAGCAACGCACTATGTCTGGTGCGAATGAGCCACCGATGCCCTCGGCATGGGACCCTCCACTGGGTACACACTTATCTATGTGGTTACAGTACTTTGTGTACTTACTGTATCCATCAGTATATGATATTTGCATGATGTAGCGTTTGTTAGAGATATACACATGTACATATATGTCGTTACGAATCTGCTGATGTTTTATTTCTGGATTAAATGGACCATAAAAATGCCTATTTTTCTAACAATCCAAAAACCTAATCTTAGACAATTTTCTGTCAATGGTTTTGCTGCTGCTTTGAAGCTAAATAATTTTGATAGTAAGAATTTCATGATACGGCGTACCAAGATGGTATTGTGGTTGACTGTTATGAACTGCTATCACGCCGCACAGGGGAAGACTGAACAATTTACTCCTGAGGAGGAGCAAAAGTTATTGGTTGCCGATAGCCTGTATCGAGACGCCATGATTAATGCACTTCATAGTAAGTATGAGAAAAACTACATATCTTGCACATCAAGCAAAGAATTATGGGATACTCTTGAGGCAAAATTTAGAATTTCTAATGTTGGTAGTGAGTTATACCTTATGGAGCAGTTGTATGACTATAAAATGGTTGAAAATCGTTCTGTAGTGGAACATGCTCATGAGATACAGGCGCTATCAAAGGAACTAGAACATTTTCCATGTCTGTTACCCGATAAGTTTGTGGTCGGCGGTATAATCGCTAAGCTGCCACATTCTTGGAGAAATTTTGCTACTTCTTTAAAACACAAGGGACAAGAGTTTAGCGTAACTGAGCTTATTGGATCACTTGATGTTGAGGAGAGGGCGAGAGCAAAAGACAACCGTGAAAAAGGAGTTGAGTCTTCCACTGCCAATATGGTGTAGAAGAAAAACTCATTTACATCCTGTAATAAAAAGAAGAAGAACATGCAAGAGAACAACAATACAAAGCCTAAGCAAACTGCTCAGTTTAAGAAGAAAAATAACAAGAAAGGTGAAGGTTGCTTTATTTATGGGAGTGATGAGCATTGGGCAAGTGCGTGCCCAGACCGCAAATATAAGCAAGAAAAGAAATCAGCAAATGTGATGATTAGCGAGACTGGAGGAGGAACATCTGGGTATGATAATTTTTTACCTTTTGTTCTTTCAGTTTGTCTTTCACCTGAGTGGTGGATGGACAGCGGTGCTAATATTCATGTGTGTGCTGATGTTTCTTTGTTTACTTCCTATCTGGCCGGTAGGACTGGAGCTTTGCCGATGGGAAACGGTTCGCATGCGCGTGTTCTTGATGCTGGTACGGTCATTCTGAAGTTTACTTCGAGAAAGACGGTGTTATTAAAGAACGTGCAGCATGTCCCCTCCATCAAGAAGAATCTTGTTAACGGTTCTCAAATGTGTCGCGATGGCTTTAAAATTGTGCTTGAGTCCAATAAGTGTGTTGTGTCGAGACATGAAATATTTGTTGGAAAATGGTATGATTGCGGAGGCTTGTTCCGTTTATCTTTGCTTGATGATGTGTGTAATAAAGTAGTGAACAATGTTAATGTTTCGAATAAGTCAAATATATGGCATTCATGACTTTGTCACATTAATTTTGGTTGTCTCACGCGACTTGTAAATCTGAATTTAATCCTGAAATTTAACTTAGTCAAAAATTCTAAGTGCCAGGTGTATGTGCAATCAAAGCAACAGTGCAAGCCTCACAAGGCTGCTGAGGCGAGGAACTTGGCACCATTAGAACTCGTTCATTCTGATTTATGCGAAATGAATGACGAATGGACTAAAGGCGGTAAATGATACTTTATGACATTTATAGATGATTATACTAGATTTTGCTACGTGTATTTATTGAAAACTAAAGATAAAGCGTTGCATTATTTTAAATCTATAAAGCTGAGGTAGAAAAATCAACTTGAGAAGAAAATCAAACGTTTGCGGTCCGATCTCAGGGGGAGAATATTTCTCAAATAAATTTTCTGAGTTTTGCGCGGTGCATGGAATTATTAATGAGAGGACGCTACCATACTCACCACAGTCTAATAGGATTGCAGAGAGAAAGAACCGCACTCTAACTGATTTGGTTAATACCATGTTAGAGACTGCAGGACTATCTAAGGAATGGTAGGGTGAAGCTATATTGACAGCGTGTCATGTCCTGAATAGGGTGCCCACAAAGAACAAAGAAATTACACCATTCGAGGAATGAGAGAAGAAGAGATTAAATCTCTCTTACCTGCGAACTTGGAGTTGTTTGGCAAAGGTAAATATGTCAATAAACAAAAAGCGAAAGCTTGGACCAAAGACTGTTGATTGTATTTTTCTTGGTTATGCTATTCACAGCGTGGGTTATAAATTTTTAATTATAAATTCTTGTGTTCTTGAGATGGATGTTGATACAATCATGGAATTTAGAGACGCTACATTTTTTTAAATGAATTTTCCATAAAAAATACACTTAGCACGACTGGTCATGAATTTATAATTCTCCATGAGCATAAAAATTTTACTTCGATAGAACAAATTGAGGAACCCTATATGCAAAATCCTAAGGAGGATAACACTATAGTCACTAGAAAAAGTAAGAGACAGAGGACTGTAAAGTCTTTTGGTGATGACTATATTGTGTACCTTGTGGATGACACACCAACGACCATTGAAGAGGCATATTCCTCTCCTGATGCTGACCTATGGAAGGAAGCAGTACGGAGTGAGATGGATTCTATTATGTCTAATGGAACTTGGGAAATAGTTGATCGTCCCTATGGGTGTAAACCTATAGGGTGCAAATAGGTGTTCAGAAAAAAGCTTAGGCCTGATGGTACTATCGAGAGGTACAAGGCAAGACTTGTGGCCAAGGGTTATACTCAAAAGGAAGGTGAGGATTTCTTTGATACTTATTCACCGATTGTCCGATTGACTACAATTCGAGTTTTGCTTTCCCTGGCAGCCTCCTATGGTCTTATCATTCATCAAATGGACGTTAAGACAACGTTCCTAAACGAAGAGTTAGAGGAGGAGATCTATATGGATTAGACGGATGGGTTTGTAGCAAATGGTCAAGAAGGCAAGGTGTGTAAATTATTAAAGTCATTATATGGCCTAAAACAAGCTCCTAAGTAATGGCATAAGAAGTTTGATAGAACTCTAACATCTGCTGGCTTTGTTGTGAATGAAACTGATAAATGTGTGTACTATTGGTATGGTGAGGGTGAAGGAGTTATTTTGTGCTTATATGTTGATGACATACTGATCTTTGGATCCAGCCTCAAAGTTTGAGGAGGTGAAGGAATTTTTATCTAATAATTTTGAAATGAAAGATTTGGGAGAGGCTGATGTTATTCTTAATATCAAGCTTCTGAGAGAAGGTGATGGTGGGGTAACTCTGTTACAGTCCCACTATGTGGAAAAGGTGCTGAGTCACTTTGGGTTTAGTGACTGTGAACCTGCTCCTACACCTTATGACCCGAGTGTGCTATTGAGGAAAAATTGGAGAATAGCAAGGGATCAATTGAGATATTCCTAGATCATTGGTTTGCTCATGTATCTTGTTAGTGCAACAAGGTCTGACAT